ACAATCTTATCTACTGAATGCCTTGGGGATCAGATGAAGAGATAAGCAAATGCAATCAATTATTATTTCTAACCTGATATATGGCTTCCAAAAGGTCTTGAGATGTAAACAGGCATGCAGCTTCACCAGTGAAGCAGATTAGAACATGGAGTACATCTGACCAGCTGCCCACTGTAATCAGTAACACAAAAAGCCCACCCAGTCGCACAACAACTGTATTGAGAATCTGCTGGCCAGGCGGATGATGTCGATCCTCTGAAAGATGGATTATATACTCATGATTAGACTCAAATGATGGCCAGTTTTACCATGAAATGTACAATACTGTTCAAATGTTGGGGTCAGTAGGTTTTTGTTGTTGTTATTTTTTAATAAATTAATTTTATTCAGCAAGGGTGGATTAATCAATTTAAGTTATACAATAATCAACATATCAATTATATAATTTCAAATAAATGCTGCACTTTTAAATTCCAGTGAATAGAACGGTATTAAAACCATTACATTTTGCCAATTGATTGTCTTACCATTCATGTACACAACCAGCAGAGTGTAGCAGATTGTGAGTGGGGTCCAAAATCTCAGAGCCTCAGTGGTTGATAGAAAGTGTTGGTTTATGTTTGATATAGCAGCAATTCCAGATACACTAAAAGTTATAATTAGGGCACTGCAGAGCCAGGTTAATATAGAACTGCCAGTGGTTAATAGTCCAATGCAAAGTCCACAATAGCGCTGTGTACTATGTATTGGATACATTGTATTTACATGTCGCCATACTCTGCTGCACCGGCTTGCCAAGAACCAGCTCAGTCCAACTGCAAGGAGGAGGCTTAGCCAGCCTTGCGGTGCCCCCTCATGGAGGAAATTAAGGCTGCAGGTTAATGCGCAGCCCAAGGAGAACTGGCACTGGACAAGCATCAGTAACAATGGGTCAATTATTGAGTCCTAAACAAAAAGAAACAGAACATTTTATCTAGAATGATATCGAGTTGTCATGCACAAATGTATTAAATGTCACAAATAAATTATGCTCATACTGATCCTCCTGTGATCCTTGCTGAAATGGCTCTAAGAGAGAACTCTAAAACTACCAGTGATGCAACGCGAGACCCCACAACTGAAAGAACCACTGTTAGGATCCAGAACTGAATTTTCTCTGTTAGTCCACCATTTAGTCTGTTCCGTCGTTTAATGTCTGTTTCAGGATCTGCGATACTTAAAAGAACAGACAAGTGAAAAAACTGTCATATCATATTATTTAAATATTATATAGGCTAGATTATATCAAATAATTATAATCTTCAGCCATACAGCATGGGCATATATAGCACATACACATTTTTACCTCTGTGCCTCAACAAACAAGTAAGTTTTTAAAAGGTTACGAAGAACCCAGATTCCACAAGCACCCACAAGCCCTGTGATTAACATAAAACACAAAATTATATATATATATATATATATATATA